AGTGTAGAGAAAATGAGGACTGCCACTGAAAAATTAATCTGCTGCAAGGTATAGATCTATAATACTTAAAATAGATTTTTTTAAATGCCAGGTTGTGCATATGGCTTAGTTTCAGTACCTATTATCAGCATAGCACTTCAAATAATCACTCTGAAAAATTCACTAGTTATCTCTAATTGACTGAGGTTAGAAACCTGCCCAGCTATTTATCTTTCCTCTACTAAATATGCAGTAAAGGCCTCTAAGACTTTGCATGACCAAAGGAGAATTCAGGACAACAATTAGTCCCACGGAGGAGGCAGCCACAGGGGCAGGCCATCAGGAAACATAGCGTGCTCTTAGCCTATTTGAAACCACTTACTGACATTTCTAAATGATTTAGAAAATAAACAAGTAAGGGATGGTCAAACTGTAGATGTAAGAGGAATGAATCAAAATCAAAGGATAAACAGAGAAGATGAGGAAATGGAGATGGGAGAGAAGAAAGTAAACTGAGGAAGGAAGAGACTCATGGAAATGGAGAAACGACCAGACCAGGACATTGAAATAGGAAAAATGAGAGACGAGAACCTACCAGTAGATGGGACATAAAATGGAGTCAAAGAGCAAGCGACAGAGAGGTACAACAAGAGAAATAAGTGTTCTTACCACAAACGTCCAGAAAATTAGTATAGTTTCAACAAAGGGTTTTAATTAAATGATTACAGAAATAACTGCAGTATCAGAGATTATCTTTTGATCGTCGTTAAATTTCTTCAAGCGTTAAGTCTGTCACTTTAAAAGTCAACCAAACTAGAAAGACAGCAGATACGACTGTCGGCCCTCATTTTGTTCCTGCAGCGCATATGCTATAAATGGCAGCTGCAGGCTTACAACTCACCGGTGTTGAACTGCTACTTCGTGTTAAGTACAAGGTGTAACACACAGGCAGAACCTTTTCCAGTATGGAGGATCCCCAAATTAAACCCTCCCCACCTCCTGCCAGTGGGCGCACGATTTCATGACAGAGTAGTCTTCCCTTCCTCGGGGCAGGGGT